AAACCATTTCAGGTGACTACCTCTTGAAGCTCATCGAGAGAATGCCGAGAGTGTGCAAAGCAGTAATCAGAGCAAAGGGTGGCTATTTTGAAGAAACTAGAATATAAAACATGTTTTCAGTTATTTCACCTTTTTTTGTTAAGTACATAACTCCACATGTGTTCATTCATGGTTTTGATGCCTTCAGTGAGAATCTACAATGTAAATAGTCATGAAAATAAAGAAAACGCATTGAATGAGAAGGTGTGTCCAAACTTTTGGCCTGTACTGTAGATGGAGAGGAATGAAGGTTGGAGTTGGAGTTAAGAGGGAGGGTAATGCCCTTTTACATTCCCACATGAGGATTAGCAGTCACAAGTTCTCTGCCTGTTCCTGACCCGGCCTGGATTTTGAAGGCCGCCGCTGCCTCCTTTAAACGCTCGTACTCAAGTCGTGGACTTGACCAGATTCTCTCTCTTTTCTGTACGTCTTGCATGTATAGATGGTACAATGGTACACAGGGGCTTCAGGAACTAGTCAGACCCCTTCACTTTCTGCACACTTTGTGTTATAGATTTTGCAAATGTATTAAAAGAAAACCTGAAATCTCTCATTTGTATGCTAAGTATGCTATGCCGTGGTACTCCAGATTGTGGTCAGGTGCATCCTGTTTGCTTTGATGATCCATGAGGTGTGTCCAAAACATGGTGGAGTCCACCTGTGGTAGATTGAATTGGCTGAACATAGTGTCGAAAGGTACACACACCTGTGTCTATAAGGTCCCACAGTTCACACTGCATTTCAGGACAAACTGGCTGTTCACTCTGGTCACCTTTGCTGTGTTTCCACTGAATGGTACAGCACAGCTCTACTTACCTCGACTTGCTCCATTTTGGTTTTCCATCAGCAAAAGTTGTGGATAGTACCTCATCCTTTTTTTTGGTAACCCCTCCTTTGAGGTTCCAAGCGAGCTGAGCTGATCCTAGAAGGCGGAGACCACTTATGGGTCAGAGAATCGTCACTAGTGCAACTCAAGACATCCTGCCTGCAAAATACTGTACTGTACAGTTGATGAAGTGAAGTCACTGTTGCCGATGAAAGGATCCAATGAGTGTCGCTTTGGAGCAGTTAAACACAGCGTTGCTATGGCAATCAGCTGATAATCCCACCTCCATTGATGGGGTACTAGCTGTAGTGGAAAACAAAATAAATAAAAGGACCTAATACCAAAAGTGAGTCGGGTCAGCTGAACCATACAGCAGAAACGAGGCCCTACCTCCAAGATCTTTTCAATATATGTGGGTGAAGGTCAGACACATAATGAGACTACTAAATGCCTAACGTGACAATTTCAGTTTGTAGATAATATAAATACATTTTCTCATACCAGTATTTTTATGCGTTCTCGCTGGCAAGAGCCTTGGTCGCGGTGGATGTCTGTCCAATCCTTTTGAACACGATATCTCAAAAACACCTCAAGGGAATTGCTTCAAATTTGGCACAAACGTCCACTTGGACTCAGTTAACTGATTAGTTTTTGATGGTCATAGGTCAAAGGTCAAGGTCACTGTGACTTTGTCTGTCTCATTCTCTTGGACACGATATCTCAAAAACACCTCAAGGGAATTGCTTTAAATTTGGCACAAATGTCCACTTGGACTCAGTAAACTGATTTGTTTTTGATGGTCATAGGTCAAAGGTCAAGGTCACTGTGACTTTGTCTGTCTCATTCTCTTGGACGCGATATCTCAAGAACGCCTTGAGGGTGTTTCTTCGAATTTGGCAAAAGGTTGACTTGGACTCAAGGATGAGCTGATTAGATTTTGGTGGTCAAAGGTCAAAGTCACTGTGACCTTGTCTGGTCCATTTTTATGAAGGAGATATCTCAAGATTACGGTAAGGGAATTTTTAAAATAACCATAGCCATAACCCAAGAATTTATACGCTAATTATGACAAAACTTCGCACAAATGTCTCAGAGGATAAAACAGTGAAGTGATGACATTTAATATCCAAAAGGTCAAAGGTCAGCTTCACTGTGACATCATAATGTTCTGCATAAAACACTTTTCTGGCCGTTCCTCAGCAGTGCATCAGTAAGGTGTGTGGCTGCAACACAATACTGTAGTAACCTACAATCTAATGGCCCATCCTTAACTGTTGATACCAAACAGTCTATGACATTCTGACAGCACCAGGGCAAATTACAACCTGAGCCTGACACAGATACTATGAAATAAAGCATAACTATATTATATGGATCATATGCATTCAAGACAGTGACCAAGTGCAGGCCTACTTTGCCTCAAAATGATTCAGAAACTGACATTGGTGCAGTGTTTAGGAGGAATTTGAGATTTCCTGAGCAGCAAATCCCTCACTGTTCCTGATCTTATATACCAATCCAATGTAATGACTTTGACTGTCTGAAGAGTTTGGTGTCAAAGGGGCTGCAGCTGTCGCTCATGCAGACGAGAGATGACGTTGGAATGTGTCTTTAAGGTGCTACGGGAATCCTAGCGCACACACACACACCACATAGTTATGTCTGTCTGTGCGGCCCTTTGTTCATTCGTCATACCAACTGCATGAAGAAAGAGTTTAAAAATTCATCCATTCCAGGAATTCTTTATGAACTCGTCGGGCTGGGATGGGCCTCTAAAAAATTTAAATTTGCTAATTTTCCTTCCCAATAATGCAGAAAACAATTCAGCACTCAGTGTAAATTTCCCCGAGGACCACAGTGTTCTCTGCAGGCTGAAAAACCTGTGAAACAACATTTAGATTGTTGTGAGAAACTATTTGTGTTTCTTCTGTGTCAGACATTGTGACACACTTCCTGGTCTACAGTACGGTACGTCCCATGTGTCACGTGTTTGCTAAAATTTTAAAATGTTGTCGAAGTCAGCCTCAAATTTAAGTACTGGTTGGGCTCTCGTCCATTATTCTGTCTCCTAGAAAACCTGGCAAGCTCCTAAATGTCACTGAAATGTTACGAAGCAGATGTGTACTTGTTCACACAAAGCCAAGTTTCTCTGGTTTAGGAACTAAACATCCAGCTTGTCTTGGCTGCTCATTTATGTGCCCTGTGTGTGTGTGTGTGTGTTTGTCCCAGGTCCCAAGGCGAGTGTGTGTCCATCATGCCGCTGTTCGGTAAATCCCACAAGACTCCGGCGGATATCGTCAAGACGCTGAAGGAAAACCTGGCCATCCTGGTCAAACAGGACAAGAAGACAGACAAGGTAGAGATGGACGGTGTGTGTGTGTGTGTGTGTGTGTGTGTGTGTGTGTGTGTGTGTGTGTGTGTGTGTGTGTAAATGTCTGGGTGTCCAGGGGCTCGAGGGTGACAGTCCTTTGTGAAATGGGACCATGGAACAGCCTGGTCCTGTCATCTCCTGACACTTCACTGTCAAAACAGTTTACGCTCTCTCTTTCACACACACACACACACATAAACACACAAGAGTTCAGGCTCATGTCAGTTTCAGATTTCTCCGTTTCCCTGTAATGTTTGTTTAAAGTCCATATTTGCTTTTGTGTTCCTCCACATTGTGTCCTGCTTGTGAAGCACCTATCAAACATCTCCCTCTCTGTTCTCCAGGCATCTGAGGAGGTGTCCAAGTGTCTGGTGTCCATGAAGGAGATCCTGTACGGCAGCAATGACAAGGAGCCTCACACTGAGACGGTGGCCCAGCTGGCCCAGGAGCTGTACAACAGCGGCCTGCTGATGTCTCTGGTAGAAAACCTGCAGGTCATAGACTTCGAGGTAAGGAGGGAGGGGTGTCTTCACGTCTTCATTCTTCAGTTATGGAGCAAAAGAAGTGCAAAGAAAGAAGGGGGGATAGATAACTGTGACAAGAACAGGACAGAGCACAGAGCATTTTCAATTTATGCTTCGGCGGAAGGGTTCAGTCATTTCCATGGCAACCAGACACTATCCTCCAGCCGGCTTGTTTAGTTACATCATATCATCCCGATCAGGAAACGGTACTTCAAAATAAAAGCTCTGTGCTGGAAATTTACATTAATCGGGGTTAAGTGTTTGTCTAATCGTGTGTGTGTGTTTCCAGGGGAAGAAGGATGTGTGTCAGATCTTCAACAACATCCTGAGGAGGCAGATTGGGACGAGGAGCCCCACTGTCGAGTATTTCTGTTCCCATCAAGAGATCCTCTTTATACTGCTGAAAGGGTGAGACACACACACACACACACACACACATGCACACAAACATACTGTACACAGTCTGCTTTCCAAAGAGGTGACACAGAAACTCTCTTTGTGTCCAAAGGTATGAGACACCCCAGGTAGCGTTGAATTGCGGGATCATGCTGAGGGAGTGCATCCGCCACGAGCCACTCGCCAAGATAGTTCTCCAGTCGGAACACTTCCACAGTTTCTTCAACTACGTGGAGATGTCCACCTTTGACATCGCCTCGGATGCCTTCGCCACCTTCAAAGTACCTCCTGTTCCTGCTTTACTTGTCCATGATGTTACCCTTAACAAGTAATGGTGGGCTTTCCCTACCCAAAGTAGAGTGTATAGTGTGGCCTTTGAGTTTGCTAAATTGGCAAAACACTGGATAAATGAGAGCAATCATCTAGGATGGACAGAAATAGAACAAGAACTTACCGCCCCCTTCAGTCCAGTTGAAGCTTCGTCACAAAATACCCCATTTCCAAAGTCCAGGAGCAAGGAGACAAATCCAGTTTTACAACACTCAAAAATGTTTGGACTAAACTTCACAAATTGTTAAAGATTTCACAATATAAGCAGGCATACACTTCACTTTGGAGGGACTTTAAATTTGAACATTGATAAATATCTCCGATGCAGGCTAGTGTACAAGAGAAGCTCAGGGAAAATTTACACATTACAAGATACTTCATCGATATTATTTTACACCTGTCCGTCTTCATAAAATGGGTTTACTGGAAAATACAGGAATCATCTCAGCTGCTACAGTCATCCTCCGCTACTGGAAAAGCCAAGTTAGACCTGAATATAGAGAGTGGGTTGAGTTAATGACAGAGAATGCATCATTTGAGTTAATGATAAGCAATGTGCTCAACCATCGAGAGTCATATTTGCTTGTCTGGAAACAGTTTTTGTCTTTTATAAAGGGACTAAATATGTCATAGGTGCCAGACACTCTACTGAAATGAGCTATAATTTGTGAAAAACTGATGGAGACAGTGGGAGTTTGCTTCTTTGGCTTTGGTTGTATCATTTTATGTCTGTTTTCAGGCTTTTTGTGTAAAATAGGTCACCTGATGATATAAGAATTAGTGCTGTGCTGATGGACTTTTCATTTATTACTGTCATGAACACTGCAGAGATGTGTTTTTGTTAGTCTGTCCTGTTTGTGTTTATGTTTGTCTTTTGTGCTGATTATCTGAAAATAGAAAACTTAAATGACAAAAAAACAAAAGTTGTTTTCTCATGACAAATTTTCTCGTTATCTCAATAAAAATCAGTGGGATTTGACTCAAGTCTGCCAATATTTTAATAATAATAATAATAACAATAATTTGGCCGAGAGGAAGCTTGCACAACGAAAAGAGAATAGGACCTAAGATGGAGCCTTGAGGGACCCCACAGGAAAGAGTGGCTGAGGAAGAAGAGTGCAGGAAAATCTTTTGCTCTGCTATCTTTTAATGATAAAACAAAATACCTTCTCCTAAAGTTTCCACTCGGGGAGAATTCAACTTCAGATGTCCTTCCTTGTCAGTGATATGGTTTTCCAGACGGACAGAGAATCGACATTTCCTGTTAAAACTGACCAGCTGCTATGTTGGGACACTGAAAACTACACAAATGTTTAATGTTTAGCTCTGCTACCTGACATACTTGATTAACTGTTTATTTTTTGGTCTTTAATCACAGGATCTCCTGACAAGACACAAAGTGCTCGTGGCCGAGTTCCTCGAACAGAACTATGATGCTGTGAGTGATTTGTAGTTCTGCCTCACTGAGGTTAAGTCTGCAGAACACATGATGGATGTTTGAGCTCCCACATGTTAATGCAAGTTCGCCCCGTTATTTTGAACCAGCATTACCAGGTGGAACTTTTTTTAGTCTGTAACTTGCGTCACCATCCCCCCTCCCCATCCCTGACCACAACCATGAACCATACACACGCCTCCCACGTGGGTCACGCAACATTAGTTGCCGAGTGCAATTTGGAAGTATAAACATAAACACTGTCCCCAGCTCTAAATGGCAGCTTGACTAGAAAAGACCCCAAGAGAGGGAGCACACTCGGATACATAACGGGATCAGATGTCAGTCACTGCCGTGTTCAATGGCCCAGTCATGTGTCCAGAATAGACGACACTTAGACATAAAGTATTTACTAATACATTTAAAGTTCCAGGAAAGCTGGATGAGTGAAAATTCCACTTACTGTCACATCTCGTCTCGATGAAAGCGCTGCTCTGTGCTGTCACTTTCCCCAGGCAGAGGGGCCCCTTTCATACAGAGGGCCCCTAGGGGTCTCAGGCTGTAGAAACCCCACACAACACTGCCTTTTTACCTGGATGTTATATGTTGACAGATGTCTCTGTGAAGCCCTGCAGGAGCCAAAATATGGCACTTTGATTAATCAAGTGACCTGCTCAGGTACATTTACAGCAGCACAAGTTAGCTCTAACTGATTTAATTACCTGTGATGTACTACAAAACTATACTATTCCCTTAATCCTGCAGTTCAGAGAGAAATAACTATCAAGAGTAAGGGACACAAAACACAATATAAACAGAGGCATTCTAATGATCTGTTAGATAAAGATAATAGGGTGGCACTGGGATGAAAATGTCAGAGAAAGTTCTTGTTTGCAGGTTTGAAGGAAGTGAAAGAATGGAATCTCCCATTTTATCCACTTCCTCTTTGTTATAAGTGTTTTTCCTTGTTTAAACACCCACATCTCAGTAGTTTTTGGTCATTATGGCTTGTCTTTAAAGCTGTAGTTGGTAATGTTTATAAAAACAATTCTTGTCATATTTGCTGAAACCGTGAAACCGAACTGTGTCAAATTACCAAACTAGGCAGCGTTAATCAAATATGCATCGACAATTTTTCACATCAGATGTTTTCTGAAACAAAGTGTACGGTTTAGCTGTAATACGAGAAAGTTTGCTCCAGCTTTTGGGTCGTGCTTTGTTCTGGCTCTGCTGTAGGGTTGCAACGGTATGAGACTTTCATGGTACGATAACTGTCTCAGAAAACAAACCAAACTAGCTAGCACTGATCAAATACGAATTCTGTTTCTGCATTGACGATATCTCACCTGAATTGTTTCCAGAAACATATTTTAGTGGACTGTTGAGCTGTAAAATGAGAAAGTTTGTGAGCCAGCTGCTATGTTAAAAACAGTTGGACCAATGCAAAGCACCGCCCACCAGCTGGAGCAAACGTTCTCATGTTACAGCTAAACAGTACACTAAAATATGTTTCTGAAAGGAGTCTGTAATGCAGCTGCCAGTCATGTCAATTACTGCTCGATCAAATAAGATTCTGTTACTGCATGTTGTCAAGAACATGTTTTAGTATACTGTCTATCTGTGAAATGAGAATTCCATCTCAATAATAATCCATAACAAAATGTGTTTTTTATGTAATTGCAGGTGTTTGCAGACTATGAGAAGCTGCTGCACTCCGAGAACTACGTCACCAAGAGGCAGTCTCTAAAGGTTTGACTTTACAGAGCAATGTCTACAATATATATCATTACGTGAGCATTAATTTGTGGACCCCGCTAATATATTTGCCACCTTGCGTTTAATTCTCTCTCCCCTCCAGCTTCTGGGTGAGCTGTTAATGGACAGACATAACTTCACGGTGATGACACGCTACATCAGCAAGCCCGAGAATCTCAAGCTGATGATGAATCTGCTACGAGACAAGAGCCCCAACATCCAGTTTGAGGCCTTCCATGTCTTCAAGGTAAAAACGCCACGCTCTAAACACAGCAATCATGAACCCGTTCAGTAATGTTCTATTGAAGTCTATTGAAACCTAGACACAGCATGTACAGATGGTAAATTCTTTGTATCTGTCATATGTAAAAATGTCTGTCTTTTGCCGCCGTCAGGTTTTTGTAGCGAACCCCAACAAGACGCAGCCAATCGTCGACATCCTGCTCAAGAACCAGACCAAACTAATCGACTTCTTGAGCAACTTCCAGAAGGATCGCACAGACGACGAGCAATTCAACGACGAGAAGACCTACCTAATCAAACAGATCAGGGATCTGAAGAAACCGGCTTCTTAGAGAAGCACCCCTCCCTGCCCTCGACCCTCAACTTTTTATCGATAGGAAGACATACAGTAGAAAAAAAACACATTAACAATAATGGTTATTCTATTTCAAAAAATCTTCTCGCCATTTTCTTTTTTTCTCTTTTGTTGGTTCATTTAAGACTTGTGCAAGAGTAGTTCTCAATCACTGATCTTTCTTTTGTAAATTTTTCTCATGAGTTTTTTTTTTTCATCTGTAGCATGTAGTGCCACAACTCATGGTGTTGGAGGCAGCTGATTTGCTCTGTTGGGAGAACCAGCGGTTAAAAAGCTTCGGCCAAAATGGTCGGACATAAACAGACGTGACCATTTTTGTATCAGTCGCCAGTTGCGGGCGCTCTGTTAGTTGCTGCACACAATTTAATTCCTTAACTGTTTAAATGAAGTAGCTGCAAATATAAAACAAGAGAAGTATTTCTGTTCTGTTTTTTTTTTTAAGCTGGGTCAACATGTCTGTTCGGGATCAGGCAAAAACACATTCTCGGTCATTGCTAAAAGCTTTGTAAGCCAAACGGCAGCGGTAACTCTCAGTTGCCTTCTGCTAGCCAAATGTCTTTTTTTGTTGTACTGCCAAAGCCAACGTTCGCTTAGTTTTCTCTCTCTGAAACTGAAAAGCATCATCAGACTTCATTTTTAGCAGATTTTAGCATTGCTAGTTTAACAAGGGAAAGGTCTGAGGCGTGGACTTGAGTCACAAATTAGTTTACTTTAGTCTCAAGAAAATCAAAAAAAGACTTGAACCTCGACTTGGACTTAAACACCAATATCTCACGACTTCACTTGGACTTGAGCCTTTTGACTTGAAAGCACTTGATACTTTCCCCCAAGCCCAAAGATTTAGTTTATGTACAAAAAATATGCAGTGGTCAAAAAAAACTAATTGCAGTATGCAAATCCTGGGGGTTGAGAATTACTGACAATAACATGCAGCTCCCAATTTAGTTGGACATTTGAAGTTGCACAAAGAACAGCAAGTCAAAGCTAATGTCAGCATAGTTAGCGAGCTAATGCTTAGTAACGTTTTTTAACAAACTTGTTTTAAGAGATAAATGCAAATCGTAAAAAGCTTTTGTGATTTTTGTAAATTTAATATTGTCATTTCTTTTATTGAAGAGCGCCTTGTGACTTGTTTCAAGGTTAAGGACTTGGGATGCGTCAGTCTTGACTTGGAACTGGAACTTGCCTACCTTGACTTGGGACTTCCCCCTCTTGACTTGGGATTTACCTGTCTTGACATTAAACTTGACTTAGGACTTGCCCCTCTTGACTTGGGACTTGCGTATCTTGACTTGAGACTTGCCTGTCTTTACATGGGACTTGCCCGTTTTGACTTGGGACTTGCCTGTTCTGAGTTGGGACTCGCCTTCCTTGACTTGGGACTTGACTTGGGACTTGCTTCTCTTTACTTGGGACTTGCCTGTCTTGACTTGGGACTTGCCCGTCTTGATTTTGGATTTGCTCCTCTTTACTTCGGACTCCGCTGTCTTAATTTGAGACTTGCTTTATTTGAGACTTGCCTGTCCTGACTTGGGTTTTGATTTGGGACGTGCCCATCTTAATTTGGGACTTGCCTTTCTTGACTTGAGACTTGCTGTCTTTATTTGGGACTTGCCTATTTTTACTAGGGACTTACCTGTGTTGACTTGGGACTTAGCTGTGTTGACTTGGGACTTGCCTATCTTGATTTAGGACTTGCCTATCTTGACTTGGGACTTATCTGTCTTGACTTTGGACTTGCTGACTTTATTTTGGACTTACCTATCTTGACTTGGGACTTACCTGTCTTGACTTGGGACTTACCTGTGTTGACTTGGGACTTGCCCATCTTGACTTGGGACTTACCTGTGTTGACTTGGGACTTACCTATGGTGACTTGGGACTTACCTGTGTTGACTTAGGACTTACCTATGGTGACTTGGGACTTGCCTATCTTGACTTGGGACTCACCTGTCTTGACTTGGGACTTGCCAGTCTTGACTTGAGACTTACCTGTCTTGACTTGGGACTTGCTGACTTTATTTGGGACTTGCCTATCTTGACTTGGGACTTACCTGTCATGACTTGATACTTAAGATTTGTAACTTGTGACTTGTAAAACAATGACTTGGTCCCACCTCTGGGAAAGACTGAAGCAGTTGTGTGAAATTGAGAACACACATATAAAGGCTGATTTGTTTATGATAATACCTTTCCAAAAATCACAGATTGGCACTTGTCTGCAAGACTAGACTGAGACTAGAGGAGTTCTAGTCACTGTTGCCAACAAAAAAGAACAGTTGTATGAATATTTAAAGTCAACGAAATGAAGGGCCTTTTTAATTGAGTATTGGGCTGCTATCAGTACAGTAAGCTTCAATCATTTTTGATCACTGGTTCTCTTTGCTGGTGGCTGATAGCACTTTCTGTATGATAAAAATAATAATATGATTTGTTTTGTTCATCTTAAGCTGATCACTGTTTTCTCACTGCTTGAGGGTATTTTTTATATATATAGTTTCATTTCTTGTCATGTACAGTTTCTGGTTTGTACACCTGAAGTGAGTGCCATGTTGAGTGAGAGCGTTGAACATTACCAGGAGGCACTTTGCTGTGCGGAGGAGAGAGGAGAGCAGCTGTAGACATGTGTTTGTGTTCCACTCCTTTTTCTTTCTGGACTGTAACAGGTGTTTTTGCTCTGATTTGGATCTGATGTTGGTTAGAGACAGGTGAGAAGATTCAGAGGTGCCTTTTCTTTTGGTGTGTTTTCCCTTCTTCTTTTTGTATTTCTTTCTAGGGGGAGCTTAATTATCCTGTTAATGAAAATATGCTCTGGACAGAACATATTTGTTGTGATTAAGCAGTGAACCTCTTAACTCACTATATTTGAGTTGCGCCATCAGAGAAACATTTTAAACTTTTTTGCAGCTGATTGCCATTGTGTACAGACCAGGGTCAGAGTTTCACTTTGAGTGATTCAACATACAGATTACAAACCATGTGTGGGATTCTGTCGCAGAGTGAGGCCAAAGTTGTGACTGGATTTGATGGTGAAATGTAACTGTGAAAAATCTAAATGTGGTTAAAATTCCACCTTTAAATTGCTGTTAGTTTTATATTTGACTCCCTAAAAAGACATTGGCAATTATGTCTATATGTGATGTGCATCCATCAGGTTGCTTTGAGCTTCCCTGGAAGTTTAATATTCAATGAAGCCAAGATCGAGGAAAATTACAACCTTCTTTAATTTGGACACTTAGTAAATTTCAGTAGCTGCCATTGAAATGCAGCAAATCTAAAGAAAGGCGTAAGTGGAGTACAGCTGAGTGACTAACAACCTGTGAATCGCCATTCTGGTGTAAAAGGAAAGAGTTCTCCATGTTTCGTTATTGAGGTGAAAAATAAAAATGCCACCTTTTTTTGATGTTATAAGCTGTGACATATCATACGTCATCAGATGCACAAGTCCTCCAACTCAAACAATGAGCAACTTTGGTCCCAGCAGAACTCCGACATTATCTTCCCAGTGTCCTTTCTCTCTCTGAAGCAGCCACCTTATCTTCCACATTGATGCTGTTGTACCACATTCACGACAAATAAAAGGATCGGAATGCATTCTTTGTGTGCGTGTGCTCGTTTGTAACTCGATTGCTGGTTGGTGGATCCGTCAACTACGAGTATGATGATGTCATTTCTGACTCCATCAGGTAGTTTGTGTCTGGACCTTGAAGATATTTGAGCTTCTGTCAAAGTGTATGAAGGGACTGTTTTAAAATGATTAAGGCTTTCTCTGCTGAAGACTGGGCTTCTTTTTTGGAAAGCTAACGTGTCATTCACTGCTTGTTAACTGCGGTCAAACTGTCCAACCAGGCAGCGCTGATTAAATATGAAACAACATTCTCCATCTCTCGCCTCAAATGTTTTCAAAAACATGTTGAAAACAGTCAGGCCAAAACCAAGCACATACATTTTTACTAAGACATTTTGAGTCCCATGCATTGACCATCCACCATGTCCGCAGTTCTCCAGGGACCCCCCATTTATACCGTGTCACTTGACTTTGGGGTGAATCTGCAATTTATGTCTTGTAAAATTACAACATTGAGGTGTTTTCAACACAGCTATTTAGTTTTTTGTCATATACTATGAATATTTTTAAATTAGTTATACATGGTCTTCCTTTGTTTATTTGTTAATGCTTGTCTGAGGACGAGAAAATCTTCAAGGAGGCAGAGTTGTGTGTCTCCAGTTTGTTAGCTCAGGGGGGTAGAAGAGAGGTTTGAAGGTCAGAGGATCAGGGTTCAGTTCTCAGGTGAACTGTTTTGCAAGCTGATGTCTAGAGAAAATTAAAATGTCTAAGAAACACAGACAAAGTCTCTCTGACCTGGTAGCTCAGGCTGTTATAGGACTGGTTGGAAGTCCTTAGGTTTAATTTTCGATCCTAGTCCAAGGCAGCTGAATTTTAAAGGCTGCTGTCCAGAGGAGAGAATGAAAGGCTCCATGAAACACAACAGAAGTGTGAGGTGAAATAGCTCAGACTGTCAAAGGGCTGCTGGGGTATTCTAAGATTGGTGGTTCGATCCTTATCCAGGGCAGGTGAATTTATAAAGTCCAACGCCCAAATTAAAAGGTTAAATGCGCCCGGAGAAAAGACTATAAGTGTAGGCAGGATAACTCAGTGGTTAAGGCAGCTGACCTTATTGCAGTAGACTGTGGTTCAAATCTGGTCAGGTTGATGGTGTAGTGTATTATCATTTACTCTAAAGTTTTTGAACAGATGACCAGTAAGGGGCCCAGGGTCAGAAGCATGTATGGTCAGGGTCAAGGTTTGGTGAAGTCCAACTAGGGTGACTCTCTGTCGTCTGTTTGGCTTTGTCTCACATTTCACAGACACAACCTAGTTTATAAACGAGGGTATTTTGGAGCTGTTTTTCAGAGCAGTTCACATTGGCCTCTAACCTCTCCAAGCATCCTAGATGTTTGATAGATGCTGTATTTCTTGTAATAAACCTTTTCTTTATGCAAGCAAGATGGTGTCAGCGGAGTCTCCTTCATCACCCTCACATCATCGCTATTTAAGAAACAACAATGGTTTGATCCTTACCCAGGGCAGGTGAATTTATAAAGTCCAACGCCCAAATACGCCCAACGCCCGGAGAAAAGGTGATATGTGTAGCAGCAGGATAGCTCAGTGGGTAAGACTACTGACCTTAGTGCAGGAGACTGGGGTTCAAATCTCCTCAGGTTAATGGTTTGATACTTATCCAGGGCAGGTGAATTTATAAAGTCCAACGCCCAAATAAAAAGGATAAATGCGCCTGGAGAAAAGGCCATATGTGTAGCAGCAGGATAGCTCAGTAGGTAAGACTACTGGCCTTAGTGCAGGAGACTGGGGTTCAAATCTCCTCAGGTTAATGGTTTGATACTTATCCAGGGCAGGTGAATTTATAAAGTCCAACGCCCAAATAAAAAGGATAAATGCGCCAGGAGAAAAGGAAATATGTGTAGCAGCAGGATAGCTCAGTGGGTAAGACTACTGGCCTTAGTGCGGGAGACGGGGGTTCAAATCTGATGCTACCATATGCACGTCATGGCACGGCATGGGGGAGCCAGGACGCCGGGAAAAGTGGGGATGTTGTCATCATCCCCCACATTGAGTACACGATTAATGCACACATTTAACAGTAACTTGTAACACAAATAACCTATTGTAATCTACATGTCTAGGATAGACAGGAGGGCAGGTGGCTAGGCCCTGGCGTGAAGGTGGCTATGACTGGTAACTGGGAAGGTGGACTGGATGATAGGAGGGCGGGAAGGTGCAGGTAGCTAGTCCTAGGACAGGAAGGTGTAATAGGAAAGGTAGGGGTTTGAATGTTTTAAAAACATTTTTAAGTTATCCAATTAGAAAGATAAGATTAGAAATAAAATGTCTAAAAATGCTTAAACATTTTTATATTAACTTTCTTTAACTAGTTGCTGTTTATTTATTGTTGTTGCTTCTTAACAATTAAGTAACAGTAAATGTTTCATACATTTAAAAAAGTTAAAAAAAAAAAGTTAAAAAGTTAAGTTAATTCCTACCCATTGCACAGACATTACCTACCCTAACTTTCCTATTACCCAGGCCCAGCTACCTTTTCCTATTACCTACACCTTACTACCTAGATACCTTACTGCAAACCATAACTTTACTATTACCCACTTAATGTGGGGATGATGATGACATCCCCACTTTTCCCGGCGTCCTGGCTCCCCCATGCCGTGCCATGACGTGCATATGGTAGCATCAGATTTGAACCCCAGTCTCACGCACTAAGGCCAGTAGTCTTACCCACTGAGCTATCCTGCTGCTACACATGTCTCCTTTTCTCCGGGCGCATTTAACCTTTTTATTTGGGCGTTGGACTTCATAAATTCACCTGCCCTGGATAAGGATCAAACTATCAATCTGACCAGATTTGAACCCCAGTCTCCCGCACCAAGGCCAGTAGTCTTACCCACTGAGCTATCCTGCTGCTACACATGTCTCCTTTTCTCCGGGCGCATTTAACCTTTTTATTTGGGCGTTGGACTTCATAAATTCACCTGCTCTGGATAAGGATCAAACTATCAATCTGACCAGATTTGAACCCCCGTCTCCCGCACTAAGGTCAGTAGTCCTAACCACTGAGCTATCCTGCTGCTACACATAACACCTTTTCTCCGGGCGCATTTAACCTTTTAATTTGGGCGTTGGACTTTAAAATTCAGCTGCCCTGGATAAGGATGGAACCTCTGATCTAAGAATACCCAAGCAGCTCTCTAACAGCCTGAGCTACTCCAGCTCACACTTACATTGTGTTTCACTGAGTCATTCATTCTCTCCTCTGGACAGTGGCCTTTAAAATTCACTCTCCCTGGATAAGGATTGAACTTCCTATCTCAGAATACCCAAGCAGTGCTTTAACAGCCTGAGCTATTCCATTTCACACAGTGATTGTGTTTTATGGAGCCTTCATCTCTCTCCTCTGGACGGTGGCCTTTAAAATTCAGCTGCCCTGAGTAAGGATCGAACTTCCGATTTTAGAATAGCCAAACATCGCCTTATCAGCCTGAGCTATTCCACCTCACGCTTCTGTTGTGTTTCACGGAGCCTTTCATTCTCTCCTCTGGACAGCGGCCTTTAAAATTCACCTGCCCTGGACTAGGATCGAACTTTGAACCTACGGACTTCCAACCAGTCCTCTAACAGCCTGAGCTACCAGGCCAGAGACATCGTGTCTGTGTTTCTTGGTCTTTTTAACTTTCTCCTTCAGACATCAGCTTGCAAAAGGGAGTGCCTGTTCACCTGAGAATTGAACCCTGATCCTCTGATCTTCAAACCTCTCTTCTACCCAACTGAGCTAATGCACTGGAGACACATGAACTGTCTTCGTTGAAGATTTTCACTCTCTCTCTTGGACAAAGGCATTCAAAAGTCAGCTGTTAAGGTGTCATAAAAGGAGGAATTAAAAAGAGACAGCTGTTCAGAAGGCTGGCTCTCTGCTTTCAAGACATAGGCTTAAACTCCATTAACCTGTCAACATCATCATTATGAGGATGTTTTCAATCTTGACTTGTCCTGAGGGGGACATGAATACCAGTATTACATTTCATGGCAGTCCACACAGTACATGGAAATATACAGACAAAAAGCACACACTTCATTTGGACAAAGGCATTCAAAACTCACTGAGCATCAAGTAGTACTGAGTTCAGTGTTTGGATTTGAATGTGCAACTTACAAAGATCTGTTCATTACACTGAGCTACCTTTCTGCGACACATCCTGTGACCAGTCTCATCCAGAAAAAAAGTTAACCCTCACCAGTAATCTGGTTTGAACTACATTAACATGTAAACAATAAAAATACACATAAAAAATATATTTTATTGCCAAGTCAGGAGCTGATAGTTGACTTTGGGAAGAAGCAGGGACCTTAATGTCACCAGGTCCTCAGTGTAGAGGGTGGATAACTTCAAGTACCATGGTGTCCACGTCACTGGCGGCCTGACCTGGGTGTTGCTTACTGTTCCACCTTCACGACGTGTGTGATGTCATCAGGTTATTCTTGTCCTATTTTTATTATTATTACTACTATTTCAGTCACTGTGTCTATTTATGTGCCAGACAAAATGTTGTTGTAGTAACGTAAAACAAGTTCCTGCAAATCTTTCATAGTAAAAGCCTTTTAGAAAATGAAGGGATTCTCTCAACCCAAGTTATAAGGGGCTTTTAATTTGAAACGGATACAGGGAGTGTTGAGTTTGAAATGATGGCGCGATGCATTAACTTTATCAAGGTAAACAGGAGCAGATAAAAAGTAAAAATATAAAAATACAGAGGGAATAAAAAATAACGTCCCGTTTATAATGTAGTCTGTGTAAAAGTGTTATTACTACATGTCCTCTGCTATTTCACACCATAATTTTTCCCTGCAGGAAATATCAAAAACCCTGGGGTGCTGTTGTCGTACAGTTGTCTACAGCAGCAGATCGCTCCATGTTTCTGTGCTAGACTTTATGTTGGAATGTCAGAGGTGTCCCAGATGTTAGAGTTGTCCCTCAAAATAAAAAACAGATACTGTCTTAAGTGAAACCTCTTATTTTTTCTTCACATAAGAGGTAGCGACTCTGCACCAGTCAGAACTGAAGAAGCCTCTTGGATGAGAGGTGAAACGTCTTCAAGAAACTCAAGCAAGTCCAGTTGCCTACAATATAGCACTTACGATGCCTACAGTGATTGTGATACCGACAACCCGACGGCCTTTTAACACCGCATTCCGTGGTGGAAGCACGTAATGGGTTAAAATGACGTGCTGGTACCATGGATACAATGCCAATGTAAAGTCAAGCTGGACTTAAGTTTGTGCATTGCATTCAACTTCCACTGTTACATAACTGAACTATTTATGCACATTGTTGCTCTTGTCACCGTCATATCTTTCATACACTTTTCTTTGTCCATAGCGCAGACCATATTTCCTTATTTCCTTCTTTTCCATTTCATTTCATGTTTTATATACCATTTCTAGGCTACTATTCCACTCTGTAAATAGATTTTAAAATTTCAATATAATTTTAATATATTTTTGTCTCAACCTGGAGAGTAACATATGTCAGTATGAAGATTCTACATGGCTCCTGCTTTAAAATACTGACCTTTGAACCTTGACTTCGGTGCATGTTTGAAGGCTTATAACTCAGCAACAAAAGGGGGTACAGACATGGGACCAACTCTTATAGAGAAACCCCTCTAATTTGTTTTTTTGTCACTCATTATGGCACTAAAGCTCAAGAAATCATTAATTCAAACTGGTCTATATTAAAAAGTGATGTGAATTTGAGAAGCATTTTCCCTGAACCACCAGTCATATCCTATAAACGAGCTCCCACTATTAAAGATACATTGGTACGCAGTTATCTACCAGCACGCAGGGAGGATATGTGGCTAAAAAAAAACCCTCAGGTACATTTAAATGTCTTATTAATGCATGTAACCACTGTTAGAATGTTATTCAAACAAAGACATTTACGGATCTGAAAACAGGAAGAAAGTACAATCAGACAGATTTTATTAATTGCAACACCACATTTGTTGTATATATCGTCTAATATGTCCATGTAATTGTTTTTATGTAGGACGCACCAAGAGACGTCTTAAGGACAGACTGTCAGAGCATAAATATGCAATCAGAACACAGAATGAAGACTATCCCATGGCTAAACACTTTAAAGAGGTACATGCTAGTAATGATTCCTTATTGAGGATAGAAGGTTTGGAATCCATTAAGGAGTCCATCAGAGGTGGTAACCGCCTACAGAGACTCCTCCAAAGGGAGACTTTTTGGATTTTTAAACTAGATGCCATGACCTATCCTGGCTTAAATGAGGAGATTGACGATAGACCTTTTTTATAAATGTTAAATGCTGCAATCTGTAATGATATTACTGTCAGAAGCTTAGAGGGCTGACAGATTATTTGTGTTGTTTTTTTTTTAATGTGTTAAACTACTAATTGATCAATTTGGTCGGTTTGGCTGTTTTTGTGTGGTTGCTTTATGTATCTTGTTTTGTTGTTGTTGTTGTTGTTGTTTTCTTCTCTGGGACTGATATGACCCCTTGTCCTACTTTAACCATCTGTATTTCCTCAACAGAAGTGGAGAGTCTGGTATCACTGCTCTGATTGTTAATTTGACTTGAGTTCTATCACCTGTGTCCACTCACCAATCAGGACCCTGACACTCCCAGTCCCAACAATCGGTCCCTGAGCACACCACTACCTCTCTTCTCAGTTATAGAGAGCTCTTGACTTCAATTATTGTGTGAGTTTAGTCAACAACTGGTTAGATACGGGTAAAATATGGTTAAAATTAATTTTCACCCATCTAAAAATTAGATATTTCAAATCTAATTACACAAGTGTGTTTACCACCCCCTTAAAGTCCACAGTGTACTCTCAATTCAGTGTTTACAACTTCCAAATCTGGGAATTTTTTTTTTTTTTTAAACTACAATTCCCTAGGACCGCACCATGCAGCTTGATACATATCAGCAAAATAGTTGTAGTTCTTCTGATTTGCTAAGTAGGGTTCTATATAGGGTCAAAAAAGATATATCTACCCAACATATCTAATATCTAGCAAAGCTGAACTAGTTATTACACTGCACCTAGATGAACTATGTTAAGAAAAAGTAAAGATGTTTAATTTCAGATATTTTAGCTAGTACGCTAGAAACAGCGTTTTTGGCATTGTAGTTCTTCCGGTTGTAGTGTTGTCACATAGGGTCGTAAAAAATATATCAAACATCTAGTACAGCCAAACTATCATGTTATTATTATTACTGAGGGGAAATTTTAAAAGAGGAATATATGTGCCGTTTTAATATCATATATGCTGATCTTATGCAAACAGATCATGGATCGTGGATTAATAAATGAAAATAATGACACCAGTGTAAAGCTCATAATCAAGTTTCTTTTCTGAAAGCTGCATTATTTATTCATATCTGTGTGATTTAATTTGTAATATAACAATAATATAATCTTCAGTAAAATATCTTCACAGCAACGGCCTTTAAATTAAAAAGACATAATGACACATGATTGTAAACCTTCAAGTCACCATGCTGTAGAACAGCAGCTCCACCCATGACAACCTGAGTTATCCAGGTTTATATTCTACCATTACACCACTTCAAATAAATAGATGGGGTGGGGTGGGGGGTATCTTTATTCCCGCCCTGGATCCTTTCATCTAACATCCACGTGTGTTACATCCATTCATCCCATTCTTCCATCCATATGTCTGTCCATCCATTCATCCCATTCTTCCATCCATATGTCTGTCCATCCATTCATCCGTCCATTAGTTCAGTTCAATTTTATTTAAGCCCAATATATCAAATCACAGTTTGCCTCAGACTTTACAGCATATGACATCCCTCTGTCCATCCATCATTCATAAATCCATCCTTACATCTATCCATCCATCCATTCATCCTTGCATCTATCCATCCATCCATCCTTACATCTGTCCATCCTTACATCCATCTGTGCATCATCCATTCATCTGTACATCCATTCATCCTTGCATCTATCCGTCCATCTGTCATTCATCCATCCATCCTTACACCTATCTGTTCATCCATGATTCATCCATCCATCCTTACATCTATCCGTCCATCAGTCATTCATCCATCCATCCATCCTTATATCTATCTGTCCATCCATCCATCATTCATCTGTCTATGCCTACATTCATCTATCTATCCGTCCATCCATCATTCAACCATCCATCCATCATTCATCCGTCCATCCTTACATCTATCTGTCCATCTATCATTCATCTGTCTATGCCTACATTCATCTATCTATCCATCCATCCATCCATCATTCATCCGTCCATCCTTACATCTATCTGTCCATCCATCATTCATCCCTCCATCCATACATCTATCCATCCATCATTCATCCATCCATCCTTACATCTATCCATCCATCCATCATTCATGTGTCCATCTATCTGTCCATCCATCATTCATCCCTCCATCCTTACATCTATCTGTCCATCCATCATTCATCCCTCCATCCATCCATCCATCCATCCATCCATCCATCCCTTCTTAGTGGCTTCCCTTTGAGGTCAGCATGTTGTATGGTTTCCAGCTTGGTCTCGTCTCTCCAACCTGCTGCTCAAACCCACTCCTTCATGTCGACCAATCACCCACCACCAACACGTCCTAATTAAAGCAGCCTCTGGTCGATTCAACGCAGCTCTGCAGTGTCTCCAAGTGAAACCTGTCGCAGTCGACCGTTGTTCAGCACTCAGAATGGTGTAAACCACAAACATGCAGCATCAGATTGAACAGTCAGAGGGGACACAGGAAGGAAGCTAATGTCTATGTCCTGACTATATAACATCAGGTTCACAAAACCAATCCAAGGTTTTCAGGAAGGAACAAATAAATAATCTAAAACTGTGTGCAGCACAGATTTGATCCTCAGATTTCTCCCAGTTGTGGCCGAGTTGATGCAGCCGTAAAATATCAAATCTGTGGCATGAAAGCTGTTTCAGTAGTTTTTGGTTTGTCCATTTACATGTAGGTCCATCAGTCCGCAGCTGATGTTCAGCTGACTGTAGGCGAGTCGTGGGATCTGTTGGTGCACAGCTTCTTAGTGCTGTGGCTCTCCTGCTCAGCCTGCCTGCTGTGCTTCCCCACACAACCATCTGAAACAGAAGACACTGCTGTTACAACACCAGACGATAAAGACACATGTCAAGACGTTTAGGGTAACAAGGTGGAGCTTACTGGCTCGGTGAGGAGAGGATGCTGAGCAACCTGAAGGACTTCTCTGCCACTGTGAAGACAGAAACATGTCACACTCTCCTCTCATCTACTTTCCTCAACTCAAGAAATCAACCAGCTCCTCCCTCTGTGTACTCACGATGAACTTGCTGATGTTCTTCAGGCTGCTGAACCTCAGGTAGGAGATGTCTCCCTTGTCCTTGTCCCTGTCCTGGTCTGTGGTATAGATGTGTGTGATGCCGGCTCCTCTGATCAGAGGGATGCACTCGTCACATGGACATTTAGTGACAAACAGCATGGTGGGCTCATCCGGTTTGATGTGTCGAGTCCTGAAAGCATCAGGAGAAGGAAACATCTCAGTGTGGGGAGTGTGTAAAGATCATGATTTGTCTTCCTCTGCTCGGTAAATGTCCTGACCTGAAGGTGAGGGCGTTCTGCTCTGCGTGAACGATGTATCTGTATTTGCGTCTCTGTCTGTCCTCCTGTTTGTTGTCCATCTGTGGATATTCTGCGTACTGGGAGCCTGCTGGGTAGGCGTTGTACCCGCAACCCACCAGGTACAGACACCCGGTTCCATCACTGCCAGCCTGGGACAACAGAGCAGGTCAGATTTCATTAATAACATGAATAATAATGCACACAGTATGAAAACCGTTCTGGCATTCATGTGGACGCCCCTTTCAGCACTCCACCTATCCAAACGTTGATGTAGACCAAGTACCCCTGCTCACCGCAACAGTACCCCCCATGGAAGTAGCCCCCTAGCAAGGCAGTGCACCATGCCACACAACAAAAACTGCTCAGGAATGGAACATGGAACATGACAAAGAGCTCAAGGCACTGACGTAGCTTTCAAATTCCCAGATCCCAATCTGATCGATCTGTTCGACGAACTGGTACCCCAGAGGTCCTTTGTCCAGGCCTCGACAGGTCAGAGCCAAGTCCAATCTACAGTGGGGCCTCTGAACTGTTGGGGCATGGAGACAGGACCTCTGGGGGTGTCCTGTGGTGTCTGGCACCAAGGCGTTGTCGACGGATCCTTTGAGTCCGGGGGGTTGCGAGGTAAGTTATCGGCATGCCCAATGGATGTTTGATCAGACTGGGATCTGGGGACATTTGAGGCCACCTCCAATCGGAAGATCGGCGGTCTGTTCCCCGGCTCTTCCAGTCTGCATGTCGAAGGAGTGTGGAATCATGGGAGTTGTTGTCTTCATTGTTAAATAATCACCAATACTGACGGAAATCAATCCGATGCGATTCAGATATCATGTATTCACATCTTATTCCTGTTAAGTTATTCACATTATTTAATTTCATCCTAATGAAGTAGTTGTGAGGAACATGAGCTGGTGTGTTTCCCCGGAGGTTAGTCGAGGTAAAGGGGGTATGATGTCACAGACAAACAGGTGACTAAATGAAACACACCTTTACCTTAAATGACATGACAATAAATTCCAGAATATACCTTTAATATATTACCGATTATTTCTGCATTATATTTCTGTGTGCCAGTGTCAGAGCTCTGGTATTTTGCATGCTGACTCCCTGGCACACCTTACGAGAGTCGAATCCCGAGCAACACAGCTGACAGACAAATTGCAATTTAACACCAAAGCGAAGGCAGGAAGAAAGGTGAGCTCACCGAAGGTCCTTTGGCCCAGATGACAGCACCTACACCCACTTTGGGGTCCTCTGGAATGATAATGACAGGTTTGTTAGAAGCTGGAGCCAGACTGACAAGAAGTCTGTTTGTGACCTTTAAACCTGTCATTCAGGAACGGCATGAAACGCACACACAAACATCTACTGTTGACTTTAGTTTCTTGTAGTCTTTCCTTTGATCATAGTGTTGGATATTTAAGTATCAGTTTCCCAGATTTTTAGCTGAATGTTTGCATCTTTAAACCTCTTGTTGTTCAGTCGAGCCTCAAACAGGGTGTGAGCACTGGTATGCCGAACCCCCCTCGAGTAAATTACTCTGTGACAAACAGAAAAACCAATCAGACCTGTTCTATAAGCCAGCAGCCTGGCCTGGATGATGCAATGGCGAGCCACTTCTTGGGATAGTCCCTCGTGACGTGGAAGCAGTAAGGACTTGGTGGTGGCTGGTGATGGCTCAGGGTTCAAATGCTGCTCCCTGGGTCACAGGTACAACTTCATCAAAAACAAGTCACAGCAGTGGGACGCAAACACATGAAGGACTGTGGGTGTTTCTCACCTGTAGAAGCCGTAGTGTTGCTGCGGCACGCCGGCGGCCACCACAGCCAGAACCTCCACCAGCTCCCTCATGTTGTTCCTCAGGTTGGAGAAGTACGGCTCCACGCAGAAGTTCTCCAGACCCATGTGGGTCAAAATCTCTCTGTGCAGCTGGGATGTCCTGACTAGGAGGTGTCTGGAGAAATCCTTCAGGTGTCTCATCCGTTCTCTGGGAGAAAGGATTCTTCTTTTTACAAATGAACTATATGCAAATACAGGTGAACAGTGTAAGCAGAGTAAAGTAGAGTGTGGTACCTGTTGAAGAGCTCCTCTTTGTTCAGCCCTGGTACATCATCTGTCACCCTCTCCATAAAATCACACTCTCTGGATGTCTCGTCAACAAACTGCGCCAGGCCGGGAGCCAGCGGCTGCAGCAGCACGCAGATGTGGGGACGGCTGTTGGATTTCAGCTTCTCTGTAGCCACGGCGTCCAGCGCCGCGTCCTCCGTGATGCCGTCCGGTGGACTGTGGGAGTGGGAGTTTGAATGGTTTGCAGAGGTGGACCTCAGCATGCTGACCTCAGGGTCTCCGGGCCAGAAGGAGATCTGACTGACTCCGGCTGGAGAGGAGTGAACAGCAGCATCAGTATCTGTTTCTACTTACTGTTAACTTTGCCCAGAGGAGGTGGAGACAGACGTGAGATCAGGAGTTCCAAAGGTCAGCTCAGGGCTGGTGTGTGATAGGTCAGTTTGACTGTGACGTACAGGTATTTACAACAGTGTGACAGTAGCTGGACAACTGTCAGCTATCGCTTAAACACCCACTATAAAAGTTAGGGTGAAAGAGAAAGAAGAAAAAGTGGGATTCACAGATCTTGAAGGCTATGTCCACGTAAGTACCAGAAACAAACCCTTAAAGTTTCATTCGAAACAACCACTAGGGGGTGCTGTAAAAGCAAAAAATGGGCTTGGCATACCATCCACCCGACTATCCAGTTATTACAAAAATAAAAGGACATGTTTTAAGACAATGTTGAGACACATGTGTGGTTTTTCTCTCAATAGGGGGCGCCACCAGCTCCAAAAATACAAGCCAACAACATTGTCAAAACATCGCCAAACTCTGGGACTATATTTATTTAAGCTGTTGAAACATGCCCCAAAATGTTTCACAACTGACAAACAGTGGGTGAAAGCATTACCGCAGAAGGGTGAGGCCCGGCTCAGATTGGTCATACATAATTGGAGCGTCTGTTGGATCTTTATAAACTTGTCCGTTACCTTTAATGCAGGTATTAGAGACTGTCAAAGGTCTTGATCGCTCACTGCTGTAAGCTTTTAACGATCCGTGTGGGCTTGAACCCAAAGAAACGTCTATAGCTTCCTTGCTTACACCCTGGAAATATGCCTGCTCGCTCCCTCTCTCCTCACCGTTGATGATCATCTTCAGGCAGGTGGCGCAGGGTCTCCTGGAGAAGTACAGCTGACAGTCGGCCAGGCCGGCGCCATGCTGGATGATGGCTGCCTGTCCTGCGTGGAGCTCAGGTCCTGAACAGTGGAGTCCCACCACCTTACTGTCCCGCACCACCACCAGACCCATCCTGCGGATCTGGAACAGGGCAGATTGTGTTACCTGACAGCTCACTGTAATAGATGTGTAGTAGATTAACTAAATTTCACCAACCTCATTGTGGCCATCGTCTTCAGGTTGCTCCTGTGGGAACAGCTCCATCCACAAGCTCAACAATGTAAACAGGTTTATCTTTGATAGCCTGGGGCCATGACCTGTGGGAGTGACACAAAATAAGATCATCTCGTCAACGCCAAAGTGCCTCGTTCGTGCAAAGGCGCAATTACTCTGGCTGATGTGAGAATATCATGTATGTGCGGGAGAGCACAGGGCCCAGGGCTGATTCCACATCTTAAAGCTGCAGCGAAATGAAATCAAGTGATCTTCAGAACGCACGTTCTGTGTCCTGTGTGTCATTGAAGCAGCGCTTTTTGTGTATGTATGTATTAAAATAGAGCTTCACTCCAGTTCTGGCGTCTTATTGTATTTTAACTCTCTAGTTCTTTAATGAGTTGCTTTTAAATGTCCTTGTCTTGATGCTTTTGGTGTTTAATGCACTTGAATTGCTGGGGAGGGGGAGGGTCCCTCAGGACGCCCCTACATAGGTCTGGACTCATCCAAACGCCCCTGGGTGTCATCATAACAACATATAAAGTGTGCTTCCTCATTTTCCCATAGTTTTAAACACTGTTATAAAGTTATAAACACTGGACCCACTCAGCTGGACTGGACTGGCACCCACAGAGCTACCTATGTGGCACTCTGTTTACATGTTTACTTAGATAAACATGACATAAATATTATTAGACAATAGGCAGCTGTACAATTAGACTCTTCCAATCACTCCTATCTAATCAATAATCAGCTGTTTGATGTCATGAAGCAACACAACCCCCTGTAAGCCCCACCATCACAACATGAACTCACCTTGGAGCCTGCTGTCAGTCTGGGTGCTGCTGTCTCTCGTGTGTCGACCTGGCATGGACTGGCCCGGATCGGCTCGGCTCCTTATCTCGCTTTCTTCCATTCAATCCGCCAGCTAACGTTCGCGAGACAATATATCCTCCCAGCTTATAGTGTGACAAGAGCAAGTAGCAAGAGGAGAAGAATTGAACCGGTATTAATAGTGACCTGGTTAACACTGTCAGGCGACACAAGCTAGCGCTATTTCCGGTCGCTGCTTTCAAAATAAAAGCCTTGACAGCGAACCAAATAAGGTATTGCAACAGAAATACATAAAAGCTGCACTTGGAGAAGAATATGTGAGCTTACTAAAAGAATATACACGCGAAGCTTCCTCTAAAAATACCTCTTCTTATCATTTGTCAATGACGACATATAAATTTCAAGCTACGACAAAGCTAACGTTAGCTAGTAGGAGTTAGCGACGAAGTCAAAACTCGCAGACTTCGACAAAAACGTTACACTGGCTGAGTTACACGTATTTAAAGCTACATTTAATATGTTGAATTTATTCTCTACATTTTTTGAAGGAAGCTTGGCATTATATTTGTCCCTATCGCGGCTCGTGATAGGTTGCTTGACGAAGTTCCGGGTTACTTCCGCATTAACCTCTGACGTAAGCAGAAAGCAGTGGAACGAATTCAGTACACTTGTTCCACAAGATGGCAGCACACTATGAGTTATAACAGAGTGAAACACCAAATTAAATACAGAAATATTAATTTAAATAAAAGAATAAGTAATAAGACATGATTTTAACAACAAAATCAGAAGTTTAAGAATATATATATACAATAATTATAAACCAAAATGGGTCTACTTCAGAGCAAAATATGCTGCATATATAGAAACAAAGCAGATTTTTTGAGTTATTTATTTCTTCACATGTAATGTAACATGTAATTCCATAACTAAATATTTAAATAGAAACGTCAGTAATGTAACAGCAGGAAACCAGCCATACAAATCCTGCTTTAATGTGCTGGGAGCTGAATTCAAACCAAATTACCAGCAGTTTTATGACGTTATCCTTTGCAAATCGAAGCTTAACAATAAAAATATACTTTTATCTTAATACAGTAAGCAAGACTTGTACTTTCCATATAAAACAAGCTTTAACAGCCACAGAAATTGTTTTCTAACCTGAATGAAACTGAGATTCTATTACAGTCCAAACCAAATTGCGACGGTTCTTTCAAGCATCTGAGCACATAGAGAAATAGAAACCTAACACACTGGTCATTAACACTCTTATCTCTCCGTAACACCCAGAGATGCAAACAAAAGTAAAAACTAGGACCTGCGGGCAGGTTTTGGTCATTGTAAGCCAAAGCTAATGAAATAAAGAGATGATATTGCTTGAGCTAGCAGGGTCTTGTGCGTTTTCACTGTAGCTCCAGAAAAAACTTCTGAGCCTTCTGTGTTGTTAGTTCCCAGTGTGATATGTAATATAAGAATATAATCTTGAAACATACCACCTGCCTTAGATACGTTTCACAATTTTAACACTTGCAGAGGAAAGAAACAAAAGCTGCAAGTGATGTAACAGAACAGCAACTGTAGTTTCGTAAAAGTGCCATAGCGTGACAATTAAAGTCGGACAGACTGAACATAGAAAAGGAAACCGACTTGAGTACAAAAAGGAAATTATAATACATACCACAACAGTTTTGAACCTTCCAAAATGTACAGAATACCAGCTAAGAGAACAACGAGGTTCAACACATCCAAGAGCTTCTAATGCCTGAACACAGAGCCTGGAAACTGAAAACACAGACACAGACTCCACTCTCTGGGCTAGTTTCCGAGTCCCTCCAGGTTTGTACTCTCCCATATGAACTTTTCCAGGTAAAGGAAGACATGTCAGAAACAAAAATTCAAGTATACATACAGCATGTAAATAATACAATGCAGTAAGACAGGAAAAGGCGCCATATGTTTGAGAGACTTCCACAGGAATTGACCAAAGTGCAGACGTCAGATCCCTCCAATAACACCGCTGATATTCCGCTCCATCTTGTGGACGATGCTGCTCAGTATGTATGCAAGTCAACATAAAGCTTTCTCTAAGGAATGTCATCCAACCTGACGTGTTTTTTGCAGCAGCGACACACCCGGCTGCCGCACTCGGAGCGCAACCACACCCGTTTGGTCAGAGTTTAAAATGTGCGAGAACGTTTGCGAGTCAGTTCTTGAAGGCTCCGCAGCGGCTCGCTCGGCTGATAAACTCCTTGAGCATCGCGCCGTCCACCTGCCAGAAGGCTCCGGTCTGAGTCACCTGAGTCAGATGGTTTACACAAAACCGAAAACAGAACAACTCCAGGTCCTACAAGAAGACGAATAATGTAAGATTAGAACACACAACATGTAATGTACGGTAACAGAACAAAACTCCCCTAATCAACCCTTCATTTACAGTTGTATCATCATATATACCTCTGCGTCATATCGTATGGCGGCAGACAGCAGGGTGAAGGCGTTTTCCACGGTTATCCCTCTCTTGATGATCTGCTGACACAAACGTTTCAGGCGGTTTTCACAGTAAGAGGTGGCCAAGTCCAACAGGCCTGCAGCCGACACACAAACACACACATGTGAACGGACGAATGGATCCAGTTAGACACCAGACATCATAGCATTTGACAACTGTATGTGTGCTAACCGATGGCGTCCTCAGGTGGCAGGTCGACAGTGTCTGTGTAGAGAAACTGCAGGAAGGATCTGTAGACAGGGTAGGAGAACTGGCCGATCTCGATCACCTCCTGCTGGTCCTCCGTCCACTGGGAGCGGAACATGGAACGGAAATGCTCACACCTACTCAAAACAAAAGACATGCTGTCAATAATTTAGCATGATTAGATTTTAGTTTCATCTGTGCTTTATATGCACATAGACACACACACCTGATCTTCAGCACAGCTTTGTGAACGTGAATGCACTTGCCGTCGACACTGAACTTCAGGTCAGCTGTTTCCGGACTGTCAAACTCTTTCTTCAGAGCCTCCGCAACAGTCAGGAAGTCATCATGCTCTGGAGGAAAGCAGAAAACAACAATCAAGCATCACCCCCCCCTCATTCACATTGTGACTTAAAAACATATTTATAAGAATCTCACCCATCGACATGAGCCTCCACATGACAGAGGGCGTGGCGAAGCAGGCGAAGACGTCATCAGTGTTGGTGAAGTGTGTGAGGTGCGGCATGACGATGGACTGACCCCGACACTGACCCCACATGTACACCTGGAGGATAAAATCATAAAATCTTCAACTGTCACTACATTCTGAAAGAAGTACATAAAAGATAGTCCGGGGAAAAACCAATCAGAGTCAAGGAGTCTGTAACGCAGGCACCAAATATTTTCCCTACTGTATCTGAGATATGATGTCAAATAATGGCCAGAAAAGTGTTTTATGCAGAACATTAATATGTCATGTTGACCTTTGACCTTTGGGATATAAAATGTCATCACTTCATTTTTTTTTATCCTATTAGACGTGTGAAGTTTTGTTATAATTAGTGCATGAATCCTTGAGTTATGGCCAAAAATAAAACGTTTTGTGAGGTCACACTGACCTTGACCTTAGACCACTAAATTCTAAGCAGATAACTCTTCAGTCTAAGTGGACGTTTGTGTCAAATTTAAAGAAACTCCCTTAAGGTTTACTTGAGATATTGTGTTCATGAGAATGAGACAGATGCAAGGTCACAGTAACCTTTGACCTGTAACGATCGAAATCCAAGTAGTCAATTGTTGAGTACAAGTGAACATTTTTACCGAATTTGATGAAATTTCCTCAAGGTGTTCCTGAGCTATAACGTTCACGAGATTGAGACAGATGCAAGATTACAGTGACTTTGACTTTTGAGTTATAATAAACAAAACCTAATTAGTTCATACTGGAGTCCAAGTGAATGTTTGTGCCAAATTTGAAGAAATTCCCTCACGGTGTTCTTGAGATATGCCATTCATAAAAATGAGACAGACAAGGTCACAGTGACCTTTGACCTATGACCATCGAAATCCAATTAGTTAATTGTAGAGTACGAGTGAACATTTGTACCGAATTTGACGAAATTCCCTGAAGGTGTTCCTGAGATATAACGTTCAGATTGAGACAGATGCAAGATCACAGTGACCTTGACCTTTGAGCTATGATAAACAAATCCTAATTAGTTAATACTGGAGTCCAAGTGAATGTTTGTGCCAAATTTGAAGAAATTCCCTCACGGCGTTCTTGAGATATGCCATTCATAAAAATGAGACAGACAAGGTCACAGTGAGCTTTGACCTATGAATACCAAAATCTAATCAGTTCATCCTCTAATCCGAGTCGACCTTTGTGCCAAATTTGAAGAAATTCCCTCAAAGCGTTTTTGAGATATCACGTTCACACGAATGAGACTGACAGGGCCACAATGACACGACCTTTGACCTATGACTACTGAGTCCAAGTGGACGTTTGTGCCAAATTTAAGACAATCTCATGAGGCGTTCTTGACACATCATGGTTGTGTGGTTGGAGTATGTAGTGGATAGACGAACAGCCGACCGGCTGTGGTCAGGTCAGGATGAGCTCTCATTTTAATCAGGAATGGATGACAGGGACTGGATTAAAATCACAGGTCATAATCAGAAAACCAATTCATCACTGAAATCCTCAGACAAACTCTGACGGCAGAAAATACACTCGTGTATGAATAAAATACTCATAGAGCCATTGTAGACAAGATTCATAGCATGTATACATACCTGCCCACTTTGGGTCTTGGCTGCTGAGGTGTGTGTTGAATGACATGCTGCGACCTCTACAATCCTGTTAAAGAGGAGACGTGTTTACTAACTGGCATATTTTCATTTCCAACTATGTATAAAGCTCATAATATTGTGGACATGACACTGTGTCAGGGAAGGACAGGGTGTGGTCGTTGTTTATGAAGAGGAACATCTATATGAGGAGTTTCTTTAGCCCACTGACAACTACTTAAGACCACAGAGGCACAGAGGGAGGAAATGAGGACAGGAAACAGGAAGTTGGAGTCTAAACAGGATGGGAAGAATCTGCCTGTGCATTCTCCGCCCCTCCCTCTCCCCTACCTCTCTTTGTCAGCCATGATTTGTACAGGGCTGAGGTGGTTGCTCTTGTTGCCGGTCCCCAGCTGACCGTAGGTGTTTGCTCCCCAGGCGTACAGCAGCCCTTCATCTGTCAGAGCCAGGCAGTGGCTGTAGCCCGCCACAATCTGGAAAACAAATGAGTCATGAGTGAGTCATGCACACAGACAAGTATGAAGACAGACCTTGGGAAAGGTTGTTGTCTTACCTGCTGCATACAGAGTCCTTGGAGAGCAGTGAGGCGGCAAGGTGTCAGCTGGTTTCCATTGTTTCCAATACCCAGCTGCCCATTACCGTTGTAGCCCCAGCCATAAACCTGGACAAACATAACAAACATTACTGTACGGAGTTCGGGTTTATCAGTGGGGTTTCATGTAGTTTGATTTGCAGTGGAATCCTTTTGAAATGTACATAATTTTTTTTTACTTCACTGACCATGACCTTTGACCACAAAATTCTAATCAGCTAATTATTCAGTCTAGGTGGACGTTTGTGTCAAATTGAAGAAATTTCCTTCAAGTGTTCTTGAGATATTGCGTTCACGAGAATGAGACAGATGCAAGGTCACAGTGACCTTTGACCTATGACCATCGAAATCCAATGAGTTAACTGTTAAGTTCAAGTGAACATTTGTGCCAAATTGGAAGAAATTCCTTCACAGTGTTACTGAGATATTATGTTAACGAGGATGAGATAAATGCAAGGTAACAATGATGTAGAGCTTTGACTATTGAAATTCAATCGCTTAATTGATGAGTCCAAGTGAACATTTGTGCCAAATTTGAAGAAATTCCCTCACTGCGTTATTGAGATATTGCACCCATACAAATGAGACAGACAAGGTCACAGTGAGCTTGACCTTTAACCTATGAATACCAAAATCTAATCAATTCATCCTCGAGTTCAAGATGACCTTTGTGCCAAACTTGAAAAAAAATTCCCATTCATGAGATTGAGGCAGATGCAAGGTAAGAGTGTCCTTAACCTTTGAGCTATGACCACCAAAACCTAATCAATTCATACTGGAGTCCAAGTGAGTGTTTGTGCCAAATTCCATCATGGCGTTCTTGAGATGTCTGGTTCACAAGAATATGATAAATACAAGGCAACACTGACCTTGCGCTTTGATTCTTGTATCCTATCACTTAACTGTTGAGTCCAAGTGAACATTTGTGCCAAATTTGAAGAAATTCCCTCGCGACATTATTGAGATATTGTATTCATAAAAATGAGACCGACAAGGTCACAGTGAGATTGACTTTTAACCTATGAATACCAAAATCAAATCAGTGCATCCTCAAGTCTGAGACGACCTTTGTGCCATGACCACCAAAACTGTAATCAGTTCATACAGGAGTCCAAGTGAGTGTTTGTGCCAAATTTTAAGAAATTCCCTCAAGGTATTCTTGAGATATCCGGTTCACAAGAATGAGAAAGACAAGGTCACAGTGACCTTGCCCTTTGAGCTAAGACCACCAAAATCGTTTTTTATTTTTGAGTCCAAATGGACGTTTGTGCCAAAGTTGAAGAAATTCCCTCAAGGGACAGACTGAGGAATGGATGGATGGACGGATGGACAGACAACCCGATAAAATAATGCCTCCAGCCTCGACTGTCGCCGGTGCCGAGGCATAACAAGCAGACAAACAAACAAAAATATATATATATATATATTTTTTTTAATGTTACGTCATCATCACCTCTCCATTTTCGATCAGAGCCATGGAGGAGGTCTGTCCACAGGCGATGCCAATGGCGGTTTTCCCTTGCAGGCACCCAGTGACTTTCCTGGGGTAGGGCTGGTTGGCTGTGGAGCCTGAGCCAATCTGGCCACAGTTATTATAACCCCATGCATAGACCTGCAGGAGCAGAGTGGCAGGTCAGTACTTCTTGTAACAACTTCACATTTACATTTAGAGAACACTGTGAAATCTCCTTCTGTGCAGCCTTTCAATCTTGACACACACACACACGCAGCCTAATTAGGTTTAAGGCCTTGGGGTTAAAAATAAGCTGCTTAGTGTGACACCTGCAGAGCTAGAGGTGGCTACGTCAAGGTTTTTTAAGTGACCCATCTATGACTAAATATGAAATACACACACTCGTACATGTAAGTATGCTGTTTCTGCTTTATGGTAAAAATTATGTCATTTTTTTGTATTTTTCTCGAATTAAATGATGTGGCCAACTATGCTGTATCAGCTACCTCTCCATCCTGAGTGAGGGCCATGGAGTGGTGCGATCCACACGCCACCTCTTTCACTTTCTTGTTCTGTGGACTGGAGGTGACCAGCAGCGGGGACAGTCCCTGGTTGGTGGTCCCATTCCCCAGCTGACTGTAGCCATTGTGCCCCCAAGCAAACAGCTGGCCATCTACAATAAATAAACATGACAACTGCAGAAAAAGTCGGTGGCTTGTGAATACAGATTTTGAGGTAAGGTAATCCTTTATTCGTCCCACAGGGGAGATTGAATGTGTGAATTTCATTACAAAAGTCCGAATGTACCTTTAATTAAAAAAGGAACATAAACACAAACCAACAAAAAACATCAAGCATATGCCACAATGCTTTATAAAGGATGTAAAGTTAATTTCTGCTTCTGTTTTCTGGGGGCAATAAAAGAAGAATTTCAGCTTTATTCATGTTCAGCTGTCGGAAGTTCTTTATCTTTCAATAATCAATGTCTGTAATGCATTTTATCAAGTTGTTATCAGGCTGAGGTCGATGGGAGAAAGAAAGATAGATATAACACTGTGTGTCATCTGCGTATGAATGAGAGGATATGGTATGATTTTGGACAGTATTACTAAGTGGGAACATGCTTGGATTAAAAAGTAGTGGGCCACGGATTGACCCCTGTGGGACTCCTGAGAGAACTACTGGAACATACTGAGCACATGAACAGACAGTGGAGATGCTTATGCAGCAGCAAACACAAGTAATATGTATTTATTTAAACTGACAGTTAAAAATAATAGGAGTCATGGCAACAGGTCACATGATGACAGCACCTCACGACACTTATTATAATAAGATGACTTTGTTATGTGAGATATAGGAGCATTTAAGCTCGACAAGGCTAAATGTGAAAGAGGATACATGGCATGAGCAGATGATTTACAGACTACACAAACAAGTACCTACCCTCTGTAGCCAATAGGACGTGAGGCCCACTGCCATAGCTCAGGCTCACTACCTTCTTCCCACGCAGGAAATCCAGTTTCTTTGGCACAATGGTGCTCAGACTGTCTCCTGTACCGAGGCAGCTACTGCTGTTTAACCCGAACCCAAATACCTGGGAAATAAGAACACACGCACACAGTTCACAGCAACTGTACAACAAATAAAACTGCTGCGCAGAAATGTGATGCAAACCAAATATGCAGGTGTGTACAACAATGGAGTGTGATAAAAGACTTATGGTGTTAGAGTGGTCTACTGACTGCGTTATGCTGACATTCCAGTCAGGAAGGGAGGTGGACTTTCCAAGGTATTTCCTTTAAAAGCTTTAAATGTAGATAATAAAGACTTCCCACAGTGGCAGGATACACTGATGCCTCACACACTCCTCACCTCGTTGGCGTGTGTGATGTAGATGGCTTCATTAGCAGAGGTCCCAAAGACACAGGCCTGTCGGATCGTGGCCAGCTCCTCCGTGCTCAGCAGAGAGAAGAGCGGCCACTTACTGACGTCCATCATGGCTCCTGCAAAACTCAGCCGTCCTTGTCGGGGAGGAGCGGTTAGGGCTGACGGGGGAGAAGAGGGAGGAAGGGGAGGAGGGTGACGAGGTGAAGGGAGGGCGTGAGGAGGAGAAGGAGGTGGAGGTGATGCTGGAGGAGGTGGGGAGCAGGGACCAGAACCATCCCTGCCGACACTTCAGAAGGAACAAGAGAAGAAGTGTGAATACATGGAACAAGGCGGAGAAAGCCACATTACAAAAAACCTTCTATCAGAATTACATGCGAAATGAAGTCGCTGGTTCTGAAGCCATGTGTGAGAATCACAGGCTGAAAAATGACCTCTTCAACTTTGAGAGATTTGGAGAATCCCTGGTTGAACTAGCTCTAGCTCATGGAAATGAAGGATGGCATGCAGCCAAAGCAGCACATGGGATCAGGGGTGGAAGAATCGATACAGCAGCATAATATAGCGATACTTTGTGTGGCAATATCGTATCGTCACACAGTGCCAAGTATAAATTTACTAATTTATTGTTCATTATTTTTTGTAAAATGTACATTTGTTCTAAATTTGATGCTGCAACACGTTCCAAAAAAGTTGGGCCAGGGGCAACAAAACGCTGGGGAAGTTGCTGAATGCTCAAAAAACACCTGTTGGAACATCCCACAGATAAACAGGTTTATTGGTAACAAATGATAGTATCATTAATAGGTATGAAAGTCACATCCTCAAAAAGCTCATGTGTTCACAACCAAGGACACTTTTTGAAAAACTGTGCAGGCAAACAGTTTGAGAACAACTATTCTCAATGCACAACTGCAAAGAATTTAGGGATTTCACCATCTGGAAAGCAGTTAGTTCTGGACTGAATCCAACACTGAATGGCTGTGACCTTTGACCCCTCAGAGGGCACTGTATTGATTGTATGAAAAGATTGTACAACATGGACTCAGGAACACTTTGGAAAACCAGTGTCAGTAAACACAGTTTGTCGCTTCATCTACAAATGCAAGTGAAGACTCCACCATGCAAAGTGACAATTATATATCAATAACGTCTCGAAATGCTGCAGACTTCTCTGAGTTCGAGCTCATTTGAGATGGACTGACAAAGTGGAAAAGTGTGACATGGTCTGATGAGTCCGCATTTCAAATTGTTTTCAAAAATCATGGACGTTGTGACATGAGAGGATCATCCAGCCTGTCACCAGCTTTAGGTACTAGACTGAGTCCAGACCTGAGTTCCACTGAAAATGTGGGGAGCATTATAAAGCACAAAATGCAGTAATGGAGGCGTAGGACTGTTGAGCAACTGAAGCTGTATTATCAGGCATGAATGGGACAGAATTTCACTTTCAAAACTTCTACAGTTAGTGTCCTGAGGTCCTAGAAAAGGTGATGTCACACAGTGGTAAACACGCTCCTTTTTGGAACCTGTTGCAGACATTAAAATCTGAATAAATCCGTATTAATAAAAAAGATAATGTTTATGAGATTGAACGTGAAATATCTTATGTTTGGATGCGTTTCACCCTCTGGTGATCCCCACCCCTACAAGGGATCTCTTATAGCAAGGCTTTATGGTTCATATACCTGCCAAGGCCAAACTCCACACAAATATCAGCCAATTTAAATTATTCTTGCTTCCAGGCGAATGTCAAGTATCTTGTTCAGCAGCTGTGACTCATTTATTTGCTTAACCAAACCCAAAGTATAATTCGGGATATATAACATGTCTTCACATGACACTGCAGGTAACATAGGATCGTGATTCATAAATCTCCCTATGGCAGACCAGACTGCAGAGTGATGAACACATAGGGAGCTATGGGCTATTTTACAGCTTTGATGGAATAAAACCTAGCTGTGTTTGGATAAAATACCAAACGCTGGATCTACTGACGTGGCTCACAGTGATTAACATGAGCAACTGAGTCAGATATTATAAGATGTGCTAGCTTTTAGCAGACAAGCAGGCAAACTTTTAAATTGCTCAGTTATTGAGTGGAGTTCTGCATGGGAGCTAGCCAAAACACATCACAGAGCAACATTGTCAGCGAGCTAAAGCTACGTTATCTTATCCAACGGTTCCCTTTAAGGTTACGTGTGATACAATATTTTTATTTTAACCATGTATTAAGACACAACAGTAAGCTAACTGGCACTGAAGCAGGAGAAGCTAGTGGCTTAGTTAAGCGCTTTCCTGTGCTCTTCCTACCTAAAACATCGCTCCATGACAACGAGTCGACTGAGAAAAGACAGACAGACACAGATATTTAACAACAACGTCACTATCTGTGAAGACACATATGTTTACGACATGTAAACTAAGTTACCTGCAGTGAAATTCGTCTCCCCGGTGATGTCAACAGAAGAGCAGCTTCATAAAACTGTGTCGACTATGGTTTCTTCTTCGTCTCCTGCATTTCCGGCAGAGTAGACTAATGAATGCGCTCGTTGCTGCCCCCGTCAGGTCACTGGGTGAACAACTGCTCCACATACACATCTCTCCATTAAAGAAAGAAAAATTCACAATGGTCACTGAAATAGCTTGAAACTGACAAAAGTAATAATAAATAAAAATTATCCTATGAAAATCAGACATTGCTTTAGAATTGTGGTTCAACAGAATCATTTAAAAAATGAAACTAATGAAACTGGCCTGGACAAAAAATAATGGTGCCCTTGACTTAATATTTTGTTGCACAACCTTTTGAGGCAATCATTCCAATCAAACAATTTCTGTAACTCTCAATGACAGGGAGCAACGTGTTAAATCAGAACAGCTTCTCTCTCAACCCCTCCCTGTCACTAAGGGTGTACCCCAAGGCTCGATCTTAGCCCCCACGTTATTTTCAAATCAAAATCAAATCAACTTTATTTATATGGCACTTTACATACAACAGTAACACAAAGTGCCTCACAGAGGTTAAAAACAACAAAGATCCAAACAGAAAACAAAAAGAAAAGAGAAAACCCAACCCTCCCACCCAACAAAAAGCTATTTAGCTCATAAAATTGAGTTAATAGCTAGGTAAGAATGATCTAAAACAGAGACATAAAATGCATCAAAACTAAAACCTATAGGCTAACTAAAATAACAAAAGATAAAGGTTAAATGAGATAAGAACGTAAAAAGAAGAAGGGTAAGAATATAAAAAATAAATAAAAAATAGATAATAGATGGATAAATCGGTTATAAGAGGAATTTAAAATAGATAAATAAAGAGATCAGTTAAAAGCCTGATTAAAAAGATGAGTCTTGAGCCTCTTTTTAAAAACATCAACAGTCTCTGCAGCTCTGAGGTTCTCCGGCAGGCTGTTCCACAATCGGGGGCCATAATAATTAAATGCCGCCTCCCAGTGTGTTTTAGTCCTAACTTGTGGTATGGTTAAAAGGCCAGTGCCGGAGGACCTCAGGGTCCAAGAGGGTTGATATGGTAAAAGCAGGTCAGATAAATAAGAAGGCCCAAGACCGTTAAGACATTTAAAAACTAATAAAAGAACCTTAAAATCGATCCTGAAGCGCACAGGGAGCCAATGCAGCAATTTTAAAACTGGTGTAATGTGCTCCCACCCTCTGGTCCTTGTCAGCATTCATGCAGCTGAATTCTGTAATAACTGTAGATTTGAGATACTCTTTTTGGGAAGACCAGAGAGCAGAGCATTACAATAATCTAACCTACAGGAGATAAAAGCATGCATCAGCACCTCTGTGCTGGCCTGAGAGAGAAACGGCTGTATATATAAATGATATTGCTTTTTCTGTTAAGAACTCGTGTATTCACCTTTACGCTGATGATACAGTCCCTCTCCAGATGCAGTACTCACTTCACTTCAGGACAGTTTTTTCAGGGTCCAACAAGCTTTCTCCACCCTAAACCTTCTGCTAAACACCACTAAGACCAAGGTCATGTGGTTTGGTATAAAAGGTTCTGTGCCCCTCTCAGGCCGAGATATCATAACCCTTAATGGGGCTATCCTGGAGCAGGTCACTGAATACAAATACCTGGGTATCTGGCTTGACAGCACTCTGTCCTTCTCACATCATATCAGTAGGCTACAGTCAAAGGTTAAATCCAAAATCGGCTTCTTCTACAGAACGCGCTCCACCTTTACTTTCTCTGCCAGACTTACTCTTATACAAACGACAATCCTGCCCATGTTTGACTACGGTGATGTTATCTATCGGTTGGCATGCAAGGGTACGCTTCAGAAACTTGATGTTCTGCGATCCGTTTTGCTACAAACGCCCCTTTCAAAACACATCACTGCACTCTATATTCCTCTGTCAATTGGCCATCCTTACACACCCGCTGTACTATTAACTGGTTAATGTTTATCTACAAAACTCTTCTTCGTCTGTCACCCCCGTATCTGTGTCAGTTGCTGCAAACTACAACTGCGGTTTACAACACCCGTTCTTCTCACCATGTTCTGTTGAAAGTACCCAAAACAAATACTGCACTTGGTCTGTCATCTTTCCAATCTGCCGGAGCCAGAGACTGGAACAATCTCCAAAAACACTGAAAATGGACAAATTTATCCCCAAGTCAGAACTCTATTACGGACATTTTTACTGACACGTGCAACTGTTCCCTGACACACTAGATGCCCTCATATGTTGCCCATCTTTAATATGTTGTGATTGTTTATCAATGGTGAGAGTGTTGTAAATGTTTGTGTTGTTGTTTTAACTGTTGTTTTTTTGTTTTTATTTTTCTTAACTTTTGATATTCCTTTTTAGCCCTCCCTCCCCCTTCCCTCAAGAGGCTCTGCCTTTTGCCAGGCCGCCATTGTAAATAAGAAATTGTTCTTAATGACTTGCCTAGTTAAATAAAGGTTAAATAAATAAAATAAAATAAATGAGACTTCTGCACCTGTTGACAGGTATTTTGGCCCACTCCAGGTTTGAAGGGTGCCTTCTCCAGACTGCATGTTTCGGCTTTAGATCAGGGCTCATAAAGGGCCACTTTGGAATAGTCCAATGTTTTGATGTTAGCCATTCTCAAATATTCCTCTCAATGCCTCACTAATTTCTGATGAGGTGGACATGATAACCCTTAATACATTACATTATACATTATTCATCCCTACAACAGGAAATATTTTTTCCCTAACCTGATGCTAAGTGGGCGGCACATGTGAGCATTTTTGATGACGGGCAGTGGCGAAGATATTTTAAGACTCCTATGTAGCCTACAGCCCTATGGTGGCGAATTGTATTTTGCCTCCAACTGATAAAATGACGTCATTATGACGTCGGCCCTAAAAAGGGTTTAGAGACCAACACAATATGGCTTAATGCTCTCAGGAGTCCCACAGGGGTCAATCCTTGGCCCACTACTTTTTAATCCATGCATGATCCCACTTGGTAATATTGTCAAGAATCATAACGTACCCTCTCATTCATATGCAGATGACACACAGCTCTATATCTTTCTTTCTCCCTTTGACCATAGCCTAATAATAACCTGATAAAATGCATTACAGACATTGAGTATTGGAAGGTAAAAAGACACAAAATTAATATTAACAACAGTAAGACCTGGGCTTTCATTCACTATTTCTTTATTGTTTGCACACATTGATATTACAGTATATTACCATTATAATCATACATATATATACGACTAAGATCACAACATATCAAAAGTAATGGATGAAAAAAGTTAAGAAAATAAGTTCACTAAGTATCAACAATTCAGCCTGGAAACCAAATCATTTCTCCAGCAAAAAAATATTGTTCACTGCCACCATAACTACAGTTACAGTACAAAGATCCATAGATCGGACACAGCTGTAATTGATCAGCGAGGTTGAGGAGAAACAGTGCTACTAAATTAAATAAACAGAAATTGTACTTGGTCAATAGAACTGTAAAAATTAAAAATAAAAGAATTTGGTTGTGCAACATTTTGTATAACATCTGAAACAATGTCTGAACTATTAATTAGTATTTGGCTGACTGGATATTGTGAAAATTCTGGAACACAAAACAAGCAGAAAAAAGTTTTCTCAGACGACAGGTAAATTATAATGTATTGAGAGAGGGTTAGGGCCATGCTGAATTTTAAAAACCTATGAAAACTCTGAAATTAAAGGCAAATACATATTTTTTTTTAACAGTTTTTAAAATAAAGACTCAAAGTACAAAATTCTAACTTTAATCCACATTTCAAACAATTTTGTATTTAATTTTAGAATTATTTTTATGGGTTATATATCAGAATATCAAGATTTATTTCAAAACTTAAATTTTAACTAAAGAAGTTATGGATTTCTCAAGCCTGCGATCATCCATTACAGTTCGAGCTGTGTTCAACAAGCCTTGGAGTTTGCACGGGAGCTTCGTTGCCCCTTTTGAGTTTTCTGTTCAAGGCACCTTCAGCCTGTTAGCATGCTGTGTGTGTAACGTACAGACATTAAAGCTTTGTTGAACGCACCTCGCGTCGTTTTAATCTATGGCAGAACGGGCACACTGGCACTTTGATGGCTAAACACATGATCACTTGGGGGAACAAAAAAGGCTCAAGGACACACACACATACGCACACACACTCTTGTACTTCTATCTTTGTGAGGACCTTCAGTGATATGGTGCATGCCCTAGCCCTTTACCCTAACCTTAGCTTTCGCAACTGAGTGCCAAACCCCAAGCTTTACCCTAACCTAACCCTGATATTAATCTGAACCTTAAAACCAAGCTGTTACCCACAAACAGGCCTTTGACGAACTAAGGATCGGCCAAAAAGTCCTAACTTTCCAAGAAGTCCTCACTCTGTTCCTAAAATGTTTCGGTCCACCACTACTAAGTACAAGTACACATACACACACGTCTCAACTGACAGGAGCCCTAGTTATACTAATATATATTTAAACCCCAGCAGTCAGAAATATTTTGTCTTTTAAAATATACTGGGTCCAGCTGAGTTACCATTTACACCTACACACACACCCAAATAGACACCGATAGCATGTCAATTTCCGTGGTATTGACATGACTGGGAGTTACGACAGGTAAACATTTGAGATTTTTTTTTTTGTTTTTTTAGCTTTCAGCTTCAGTCAAACTAAATCTCTGATCTTTTGGTGCTTTTCAGTCACATCATATTAAGTACCATAGCAACATAACAACAATGAAATTCACCCACTGATAGTATTTTGGCCATTGACAAAAATAAAAGACTCGACAGCATCGTTTGGCTGGGAGTCTTTACATAAACTGCACGACTAGAGAGAGGAGACATCATGGTCACGAAGGTCAGTTCCTGTGACCTCCAGCCAAAGTCACGTACAGTATAACATATCATACCTGTTAACAACTATGTCAAAAGTACACTGAGCTGCTCGACTCAAAATAATTATTTTCATTTTTTATTCTACATCAACACTATTTTAGTGGCTCAATC